GAGGCTGACCTGCAGGCCACATGTACGGAAACAAATAAACACTGTTGATTCCATTGTTGAAAGAAATATATTTATTTTTAATGATTTGTGGCGTCATAACTGTCAAACCAAATATAGCAGTAAATCGTCTGTTCGTAGGAAACTGCACACGAGAGGCACCAATAAAAAAAAAACACCAGACTGACGACGTTTAGTTTATTAAAAAGGTTCTTATGAGTAAATGAAATACGCCTGCTTTACATTCTGCCCGCTAACAAAGAACCCAAACGATGAGCACACGTACGAGCCACTGGAATAAAAAAACACAGAAAACACATCTGGTTTCAGACGGACGTGATGCACTCGGTGGTGCTGGTCAGACAGACTCCGCAGTCGCACCGCAGGGCGACGGGGTACGTATACGTCGGGTCCACGTTGGGCTGGCAGTTGGGAAGCTTGACTGTAACCAGACGGGTTCTGTTGTAGGTACAAACCCTCTGGTGGGACTCGATGAAGGGAGGCTCCACCACCGGCTTCTGGAGGCAGAAACACACACAAGACATCAGACACGTAGAACCACCGACGGCCTCGTCCGACGCCTTCACACAGTTTGACCTTTAAACCGTTTCTGCTCCTAAAACCTGCAGCTCAGCTCAAGTTTTATTTATTATTTTCTTGGTGTATTAGTTAGTTGAGCTCTCGGCTGTTTCATGGATTCAAACCTTTCTTTTACTTAAAAAAGTTGTAAGAAGTCTGAAAAGCAGTTTAGTCAACTAGAAATCAGAGAAAACAATTAGCTGTAATGTTAAATAAAACGCTTCCCTTCAAAGTTTTATCCGTTGATTACTTTGTTTTTGACAACAATATACAAACAAAAGGCTCGTTTAGGTCAAAGTGGAAACAAATTCCCACAAAATGATGTCAATGAAATGCTTAATAAGTGATCGTATAAGTAATTTTATTTTACATTTTTAATTAACTGACATTGCTTTGTAGAAATCTGTTTTCACTCGGACATGAAAGAGTCTTTTTTGGGTAAATTCTGGTCAAAAATACCAAATCAAAGCAAAAGTCTTCCACGGAGGGTGAACACTCCTTATAGGCTCTATAGAACAATTCATGTAGTGCAGGTGTTTGTGTTTTTTATAATCTAATTCTTATCCATATAGTAAATACAGGTGTATCCAAACTGTCCAACTGTCTGTAATCAAATCAGCTGAAAATATCAGTACTTTACTGATACTTGCTGCTATTTTCACATTTTTTTTTCCCACAAGTTTTTGAAGCAGTATTCCTGCATTTTCTAACATATTTCTCTGGAGTCCTTGCAGCCAAATTTTCACCATTTCTTTGTGGGATGTTTATTTATTGTACGGTTCATCTACAGTCGTCCTCAGGTTGTTCATAGCCTCCCACTAAAGGCGGAAAAACAACAGTTGTCACTGAAATAAGCTGAAATTGACAAAAGTAATAATAAATAAAAATTTAATGAACATCATGCTTTTGAATTGTGGTTCAACAGAAATATAAAAAATAAAACTAAATAAAATATTAAAAAACCCAAAACAAACAAGCATGATGGGATCCGTGAACTAATATCTAGTTGAACAACCCTTTGAGCCAATCACTGCCATCAGGGCTTTTCTGTATTTTTTAAAATTATTCTTTTTTACGCACAATTCAAAAGCAACAGCTTATTTCACTAAATTATAATTCAGCAAATTTTTATTTATTATTACTTTTTTCAGTTTCTAGTTGTTTGAGTGACTGTTGTGGATTTTGCCTTTTCTTTAATGGAAGTGGATGAACGCGTTTGAGGACAGCTCTGTGTATATGTATATACGTATGTATCTACGTTCTCTCTGCTCCTGTTGCCTCCATCTATCTGCTGCTGCCCTTTAACTGACCTCCTGCTGGAGGAAACACATTTTCTCTGCAGGAGAATCTCTGCATCCACATTCTGCTCATCCTGAATCTCCATCTCATCCATCTCCTCCTCCTCCTCCTCCTCCTCCTGCCTCCAACGTCAGCTGATAGCAGCAGCAGCAGGATCATTTAGACTGAAGTGGTCTCACCCGTCTCCCTTCCTCACCTCCCAGGTCTCGCAGCGCCCCCAGCAGGCGTCGGTGGTGACGTGCAGCCCTCCGCAGCCGGGCTTCCTGGCCAGGAAGGTGAACTCTCGGACCGCGCAGCCGATGAAGCGCCGCAGGTTCACGGCCGAAACACTGCCGCCGTGCAGACAGACGAGGTGGACCAGGAGGCAGCTGAGCATCAGAGCAGGAGACCTGGAGGACCAGAGGAGAACTCATGAGATCTGAGGTGGAGGTCCTCAGGTCAGAGGGGTTACATCACTAAAGGATCCTGAAGCTCCTCCAGCTGGAAGCCAGGGACAGAAGATAAAGACATCTTCTAGCAGGAACGAGGAATATCTGGAATTTTGTTCCTTTATGAAAGATTGACGAGTTTCTACATTTTACAGACAGAAAATTGTGAAAAAGTAATGAAATCTGGCTGCAAAGGAGCAAAAAACATCAAGTAAAAAATAGTGAATACAATAAATTTCAAAAACTGTGAACAACAAAAAAATGAATTGTATTTTTGAGCTGATTTAATTACAGTAGAATAGCATCATTTAACAGTCACACAGTTTAAAATAACAAATTATTATTGTAAAAATGACAGGTTTCTATTGTGGACATTATGTACAGTTTTGTTCGTAAATGAATATTTCTTCTGTTTATTTATTAGACATTATTTGTAATTTAGTAAAACAGAAGAAAAAGTGAGTTTTAAATTCAATTTTTTTATTTTTTTATTTTCACCATTACTCATTATACGTAATTATCCTCCTCAGNTGAAATGAGAATGGAGATTGACTGGTTTTAATAGACGAACCAACATGTTGAACTAACTGCTGCTGTTTCCCTGCAGATGTACCTGCTGCCCCGCATGATGCTGCTGTTGCTGCTATCAGCTGGAACCAGTCGGGCTGTGGACAAAAACTGGTTGACTGATATTGTAGCGGCCCTCCTAGATGAGTGAGTGAACTTTAAGAATTACTAAGGATGCCACTAACAACCGTGTTTTTTTTAATTGATTAATGTATTAACCATTTTATCAGTTAATGTAAATGATTATTTTTTCTCAAAAAAAAGCCCACAATGATCATCTCATTTAGGTGATTTCTTCTTCATTGGTAGTTTTCTGTGAGCGCAGGTTTTTAAACCGGCAGCCTTTCTCTTGACAAACCTTTGTCACCTTTTCTCTTCTGTTGTTTGCTCACTTTGTTGTGCACATGTGGAACCTGTATGTCAACAAGCGCTACGTCTTTTAAATTAGGTCACAATAAAATGTCAGTATATCCAAGAACCCTTCAATCCGACTGAATGATGTTGAATCAGACGGACTTCTGTTGTCGATCAGCTGAACAAAGAAAACTGAGTTTTCTGTTTGCATCCAGTCACGTCAACAGTTGTTGTCGATGATGAAACGATTTATTGTGCAGCTTCACGTGGTTATTATTGATCTGAGTCATGCTGCAGCTTTGTGCTTCTGTTTTTTGTCGACAGGTACGTACAACAGGACAAAATACAAGGTCAGTTCTGTTTGGCTGCAAACATCCCAAAGAACCCAAGCGCACTGGGTCAATTCCTTCAGAACAACCGCTACACCGAAGACGTTGAGGAAACACTTAAAGGTGGTGACGTGTACGTAGGAAACGCTGTGGTTGTTGCAAAACCTGAAACTTGGGAATATCGGACACGTTGGGCAACTTTGAGACGTCGGGAACCTCGGGAACCTCTGGATCATGCAGAACGTCGAGTTCTGGAAAATTTGGATCCATTGATCGAGAAGAGCAAGGGACACGTCCTGGTGATCTACTCCTACCTGTCCGCATGTGACATGTGCACATCCGACGAGGAGCTCAGGATCACTGAAATGATTAGAGACAAAGTCGTGAACCACTGGTCTGAGTACGCCTTCGTATTTACAAAGCTCTTTACCAAGCCAGGTTTTTCAAAAGAAGGTCAATCTGTTACACGTAGCGTGGCAACGTTAAGACAATCCCTTGATGATCTCGCAAACTCTGGCCTCCATCTCGAAAACATCTTCCGCTGTTACAAACCACCAAATTTAGTGTTTCGGTGCTACAGCTGCTCGTCAGAGGGGCAGGCCGCGGATGTTTGTGTTGACGAAGATGCTCAGCCTCAACAGGGAAGAAGCAGCGGCGGAAGCAGCAGATACAGGGACAGCAACAACAGGAGGAGCAGCAGCAGTGAACGCAGACGTGGAAGTAGAAGCAGCAGAGAGAGATCCAGCTATTGGAGTCAGAGTAGAAACAGAGATGGAGGACGAAGCCGCAGTGGAAGCAGCAGAAGGAGATCCAACAATTGGAGTCAGAGTAGAAAAAGAATTAGAAGAAGAAGCCGCAGTAGAAGCAGAGGTTGACAGATTTTAGGGTCTGATGTGATTCAGCTCAATCAAACGTACATCCCTGAATGAGAGAAAAAACCTCCTTTATGCTTAAAAAGCACATTATTTCCTCTTTATCGAGCAGAGCTTCAAACATTTGTTGATGCCGCGAAAGTGCAGAATATTTCTCCTCTGAACTCCAAAACCTGCCAGCGGGTTTGAAACATGTTATCTTTGAATTAAATCACCAAAACGACACCGTTTGTTATCACAAACTGTTATAGAAAAAAAAAACTGAAGGAATTGTCGGGTGACCAATTTTCTGACGCTCATTTAATGCATCGTATGTGACGTGGCATTCCAGCGTACAGTTTGAAACTGGGACTCTTCATCAGAATCGCTTTGTTTTACTTGTTTTCACAGAGCAGAGAGCAGACAACAAGAAACTTAAAATTGTCCCAGAAATTGTCATTTTGAACAAATTTTGAGTCACTTTGATCAAGTTTTCAGTTTGCGTTATTTTAGAGAATCCTTGTGTGGGCTTGTACAAGTTTCGAGTCATTTTTTCGTTATTTTGTACAAATTTTACGTCATTTTTTGACAATTTTAAAGGAAGATCCATCCTACTGAATCATTACTATCAAAAATTGTCCAAAATGATTAAAATATTGTCATGTTCAACAAATTTGAGGTCATTTTAAACTTTGAGGAAGTTTTAAGCTATTTTTGACAATTTCAGAGTAAGAGGAAAACCTACTGGATCGGAGTAGAGAGGAAAAGTCTGTAATCATTTGTATCATTCCAAGACATTTCTGAGTTCTCTCTCCCTCTTCATGGTTGTTCTGACTCTGTAGAGCTGCAGGACTTTGTCTTGAAGTGAAAAATGAACCCACAGTGAATAAAAATGAGACGAAACAAAAACCGCCCAGAACCTGCTGTTTGGAGTTCAGAGGGTAAAAGTAAAATATTGTAAAGACAAGAAGTCATGTTGTGTTTCTCTGAGTGAATCTTAAACTGCTTTGTTCTTCTGAATAAAACTCAGCTTCAGCATCAAACCTGCTCCGCCTGTCTGTTACTGAAACTCCTACAGTCTCTGGTTCGGGCCGGCAGCGGCAGAAAGTCGCCGGTTTGATCCTCGCATCAATGTTCAGTTTGTCCGAGTGACCTAACAGAAAGAAAACGGCACAAAAAGTATTAACGTGGTGATCAATTTTAAATAAATATGCATTTTTTAATGATAATGAATATTTCCCATGTCTTAGTCATAATGTGCTTCACTTTTCGGGGTTTGTTTGGTCACAGGTGACGTCTGGAGTCTGGAAACGCTGCATGTTCTTATTTTCTAGTTTCTGACTCAACCGTGGCATTAAATCTAATTAATTCACTGTTTTGTTCTGGTATGTTTTCAGTGAGTTAAATGGTGAATAAGGCTCCTTGTGTTCAGAGATTTT